GACTATGAGGTAAACAAGGCATTCAAATAATTTAGAAAAACACGATAAAATGGAGATAGGTCGATAGTTCGTAACATCAGGGGTGATCGCTACCAAGCTATTTCTAATTTGTCGTTGTCGTTAATTGTAAACATGATTGTAAGCTATTATTGGAAAAATATAGCCCCGCTGGGTTTCTTGCTGGTTCTTCCCAGGACAGAGGTTTTTTTTGCGAACCAGTAGTAAATTAAAAAAGTGACTTTCAATAAGTATTGTTATAATCTACATTGAATAAAAAAGTTTCTGTTTCTGTTTCAATCTTGTCACTTTTCTTATAAATATATATTTTTTCCATTCATCGGGAAACTTTCCTTCGCTTAAAGAGCGATTAAATATCAACCACTACACAGATTAATAAACCCTAACCCTAAGTATAGGTAAGTAAACTTTCTTTGATGTAGTATCCAAATGCCCAAGTCGTTCATAGCTCATAAAATAAAAATACAAGGGCCGATGCAGATGCAAAGGTAAATGCTATTGCTAGCATCATAAACGGAGCGGAGTAAAAGTCTCTTTATTTCAATAAAAGATTCAATCAAATGGTGTGCCATTGCACAGATGTAAATTAGCGAATTGATAAGATAGTAAAAGAAAAAAAATCAAATTCAGATTTTTATTGTCAATGGCCGGGCCACACTAACGAGAAATGCCGTTAATTATCGCGTTGATGGACGTTGAATGAAGGTGTGGCCACGACTTAACGCGTTAATTTGACAACGGCATTAACAATGCCGTTTCCGGTTTGGCGATAACTCTAGTGGCGGTACATTAAAGGATTAACGCACGAATTAACGCGTTGAAGAGGCCACACTACGTTTGTCTCATTGTCCACGACGAGCGCAACGGGGTCGCACGTATGGCTATTATGGAGCGCAACAATAAAAAGTTATTACGGTTCTTGAGATTCTGCAAACAGAGCCATGTTTATGGGATCAAAACTCAAAAGTTTTAAGAATCTTACATCGCAAAATGATGCTTCGCGACGAATTATGCAATTATAATTTTTTAAAACAACTATCGAATAAATTAGAAAAAAGAAGGAAGGCCTAGTACTGGGTTTTTACAGAATCCATTTAAACAAATATAAAAATATAATAATTTCTTATATTTACGCGAACACAACACATTGAAATAATACTAGTTTTTACGGATTTTATCACGTATATTTAACTATAAATACCCGACGTTTCGCGTTTCTTACAGCACCCATGGTCACGGGGGGGGGGACAGAGATGTTCAACGTCCAGCTGTCATAGTTAACAGCGGTTACCATAGATTAAAATTTAACATTTGTTCCGATCTACACTGTATGAATTTATGGTATCTTGAAGTCTTGCAGTTGTATGCTTGGGTTGGGATTTAATTTTATATATTATAGGATCGGTTGGGTGGTTGGGGGGTGGGAAAAATTTTTGGGGGAAGGGGTGGGGGGAGAGAGAAAAAAAAGAGGAAGGGGGAGGGGGGAAGAGGGAGGGGTGGGGGGAGGGGGCCAAGCAGATGGTAGCACCCAGCCATCTTCTCTATTGAAATTAGGATGTTTTTTGATTTCAATAGCCTCGCTAATCATCCTTGGAAGGAATCGGTGTTCTTTAGCGAGGATTTGTGGTCTATCAAATCTGATGTAGTGACGAGGCGATCCTGTACGTGTTCACAGACTGCAAACTTCCCAGAGCGTCGGTTCTTCACATCAGCAATATGTTATTTAACGCGTATTTTAATTGATCTTTTAGTTTGTCCTATGTAGGAGAGACCACATTCACAATCAAGTTTGTACACTCCTGCATCTTGCAGAGGGACGTTACACTTGACTGATGGTAAAAACTGACCAATCTTCTTCGGCGGATTGAAGTATGTTTTGATGGAAACGCGCTTCAAGATGTAGCCAATCTTGTCAGTGACTCCCTCTAACATATGGCAGTACAGCAGGTACACGCTCGACTGTGGCCGGCTTCACTCGTTCACTGTGACATTGTGTGTTTGCAAAACTTGCTTGACATGGTGGAGCTCGGCAGCCAGGTGTTTACTGTCACAGATCCCTCGTGCTCTCTGAAACAAAGATTTACCCACGGTAGCTAACTTTGAAGGATGGTGGTGAGAATCACCGTTTAAATATCTATCTGTATGGATCTTTTTTCTATATACAGTTTGGCTCAAGGTGTCAGGATTCCGAATTACTAACACATCTAGAAAAGCTAAAGAATTGTTTGCCTCTAACTTCATTGTGAACTGAATTTTAGAATTTATAGAGTTAAGATGGTTTAGAAATGCAGTTACTTTATCTAAAAGTAGAATTATGAAAGTGTCGTCTACGTACCGCTTGTAGAATCTTGGATTTATGGGAGAAGAAAGCAGGGCTTTCTCCTCAAAGTCATTCATGAAAATGTCGGCGACAATGGGAGATACAGGTGAGCCCATCGCTACACCATCTACTTGCTTGTAGAACTCCTCCTTCCATAATAGGTAGCCAGATGTAAGGCAGTGTCTGAGTAATACTGCATATTCTACGGGCATGTTGTTTTCTTCCAGCCTTCTAGTTATAATTGAGATGCAGTCTTCTACTGGTAAGCATGTAAACAATGACTGCACATCAAAACTGACAATAGTTTCATTGTCTGCCAGATGTAGGTCTTTAATCTCGCTGACAAAATGGTTGGACTCCTTTATGTGTGCTCTTGTATATCCCCTGAGCGGTGAGAGTATTTTCGCTAAGTGTTGAGCCAATCTGTAAGTTGGCGAATCGATTAGGCTCACTATAGGACGTGGGTCAGCATTGGACTTTTGTAACTCTGTTTTTGGTAACCCATACAACTTTGGTGATTTGGTGCACGTAGGTATTATCCATTTTATGTCCAGATTTAATTTTTCGGGGTGTTTCTTTATGAGGTCACTAGTTGTTTTTAGTGTGCTATTTGTTGTGTCGTTTTTAACCTTTTTATAAGTGCTTACATCCGACAAAAGTTCTTGTATTTTAGAATTATAATCTGACGTATCCATGACTACCGTGGTGTTTCTCTTATCCGCGCGGAGCCCCGTGAGCACCCGTGAGCATGGGTGCTGTAAGGCGCTCGAAACGTCGGGTATTTATAGTTAAATATACGCGATAAAATCCGTAAAAACTAGTATTATTTCAAAATATAAAAATACTTCAAGGAACATTAACGCCAACATTAATGCCGTTCAATGACATTAAAATTGAAACGACGTTGACTGTTCAAGTGTAGCCACTCACTCACTCACTTTATTTTAAGGCAATAATTGTTGCGTTTATGGGCATTGACGTTTCTTGGTAGTGTAGCCCCAGCATTACAAACCTGCGTTGAGCTACAAATATTGGAGAAAAAATTATATAAATTGGCATACGGGTTACGGAGGATATATATTTCAAAGAATCGTTTTCTTGCGCCATGGGAGCTCCACTCGCTTCGCTCGCTCCGCAGCAATAAAAATATGTATGCGACATATTGTTTGTAATTTTTTTACAATATAAAACGCCTAAGTAATTACCAATTGCTGAACTACTTCTACTAAAATGTAATATTCTTGATAATTTCTAGAACGGCATCATCATGATCGTCGGCGGTACTACTGTTCGATGTATTTTTAAATAATACGTTCTTACGTAACTCATAAAATAAAAATATAAAAAAATATGACATATTGTTTGTAATTTTTTAAAATATAAAAACGTCTAAGTACTTATCTGTTGCTGAACTACTTATACTAAAATTTAATATTCTTGATAAGTTCTAGAACAGCATCATCGTCATCGTCAGCGGTGCTACTGTTCGACGTATTTTTGAAGTCATACATTCTTACATTTTTATTCTTACGTTGGCTTTTATCATATTTGCCGTAGGTTCAAATTTCACAAAGACCCTTAAGGAGCATATTTAGGGATAATCTATTCCTTAGTTTTTTTTAATTATGGCATAATAGAGAAGGCACTTTCTACGGAGGCACTAGAAAGGTACTGCAAGTTTTATGTGTGGTGTTATACACCAAAAAGTTCTCTACACTTAATTCTTTACACCGCACCTAAAACTTGTAGTATAATTTAGTATTATGTAGTAAGTAGGTAATTAGTGAATTTATAATTTTCTTTGCTTTATAATTTAATTTTTTTTAAATTACAATTGCTGATTTTGTTTGAAACCCCTAAAAATATGCCCAAAAATTTTTATCCCTAAAAATCCCACTTTTAACACTTCTTCACCCTAAATTTAGATGAAAATCCTCAAAGTTGTTACTATTGTAATAAATATGTAGCAAGACACCGTCTCGCTGTGGTCTAGGATTTAGGTTAGTCCTGGAATAGTGGTGTTGGAATTAGTGGTGCCGGGAGTAGTGGTGTTGGGACTAGTCGTGACGGAGTTAGTACACGCAATTAGGGAGGGTGGGAGGTGCTCTTCAATACAGGTAAGACTCATCATTGTATTTAGTTAGCGGAAGGTTGCAAAATAATTAATATTTTTATTATAATGGATTTCCGCAAAGTAACGCCTGATTCTATCAAATATCCTAAAAAAATATTTCGAAGACATGTGGAGATCGCCAACACGCAATGGGGCAGCGCGGCGGACACTTCCTTGTCCTATAACACTCTCAGAACGTGTACGTGGCGCCTTCTTTGGCTTAATACTCAAAGCTAGGAGCCTGTAGTCATAGTAATAATTATATGGGAAAAGTCGAAACAAAGTTATAATTATTACTATGTATAGTAATAATCATATGGGAAAAGTCGAAACAAAGTTATATAGCAAAATATATTTTGATACATCTAAAGAGATCATTCATTACGGAGAGTTCCCAGCATATTTATGAAAGTATCTCATAAAAATACAAGGTACTTAAGAAATAATTCAATTGTTTTAATTTAACAACCACTATTTACAACACAAAAATTATAAAAACAATAACATTAGCGTTATACAAACAAAATTATTCACATATTAAAACAATTTTCAAAATCTAGTTTTAACACGACCTCCAACTGAAAGAGGTGGCCGAGTATGGCCGTGGAAAGACCAAGCAGCTGAAGAAGGATACGATGTATAAACCATATCTTGCAAGCCATTTCTAGCTTTGGGTTTTCTTATTGACATCTGAAATAAAGATTAGTACTAGTAATTGACAATAATGACGATTGCGTTATTTAGTATTCGCAATCTAAGATTAAGCAAACATACATACATAAACATACATACATAAACACTCACGCCTGTCGTGTTAAGGGTACTCCTAATTTGGCCCGTTTTCAATAAATCGCCAATTTGGTCGATAAATTTTCGCCTAGGACGTCCCTTTCCGACTCTGCCATTCACTTCTGCATCATAAATTTTCTTTGTCACTCTTTCCTCATTCATTCTTTCCACATGACCAAACCACCGAAGCATTCCTTTCTTAATCATGGTCACAACATTATCTTGCAAACCACACTCTTCTCTTATTACACAATTTCTTACCCTGTCATTCAGATTCAGCCCTAACATACTCCTTAACGACCGCATTTCTACTGCGTTTGTTCTACTCTTGTGCTTCTTCTGCCACACCCAACTTTCACTACCATACGTTAAAGTAGGTACCAACACAGCATTGTGATTAATGAAAAATAAAATGCCATACGTGCCTTTTTCGACACAATTTGACTCTTCACAATAGAGTGCAAGGCCCCATTTACTCTATTTCCTTTATTAAGCAAACATTTATGCAAAAACACAAAGTTTTGGCTGGTTGCATTGTCTAACTGGTTATATTCGTTACGTTCAGCAAGGAAAGGTAAGAACGAGTGTTCATGTGTTAGCGTATCACTACCATATCTTCTATCTGCATAATCAGTGGCGTAGCTAGGCAACCAAGGGCCCTGGGGCAAATCAAAAAATGGGGCCCCACTGCTGTCTAAACTGGTTAGGTTTTATCAAGTAAAAATATTAAATATACAAATACTTTAAAAACGCTAAGCTTAGGTACTTTATCATCAGGTCTTTTTCGTGCGGCAGTTAATAAAATATTAAACAGTAACAACATAAATTACAGTTAATACTTAGTGTAGGTACTGGGCAATAAAATGTAATAGAAAAGATTCAAAGGCTTATTATATAAAGGTCGGACCTACCAACTGACTAAATAGCAATTATATTTACAATCTTTTCCTAGCCTCTTTTCGCAGAAGTATCAATGACTTCGGTTAAATCCAGGCATGATGCGGTTTCGTTTTCAATTGTTATTAGCGATAAATGTCGGAGTCGAGTTTGGCCCATTCTATTTCTTTTTTTAAATTTGCTAAATAGGAATTGTAAAGAATAACAACATTGCTGTAAATACTTCCGTTAGGTCGCAATCTCGCATTTTTTTTTTTTTCATAAGAGGGGGGCAGTCTTTTTTTTTCCGAAACTCACGCCGTTTTTATGTTATTTTTTTTTCGTTTGCTTTTTTGCTTTTTTTTTTTGGGGGCGTCGTTACGATTTTTTTTTGTTGTTGTTCAGTCTCGCAAAAAAAGCTTTTTTTTATACTCTCTGCTTCATTACGTTCGCCAGTGAATTTTGACAGTAGATCCCAACGTTTGATAATATTTCCGAAAAAGTTATACAAATCTTGCAACGTTGCGAAAAAAAAAAACTGTATTTCCACACAACTGCTAACGGCATCATTTATCACCAAATTTAAATTATGAGTGGCACAATGTACGTACTCCGCGTTAGGCCAAACATTATTCCTTTGTGAAGCAAATTACCAGCAGGGTTGACAATAGGCAGCGTCTAGTATTTTGGAATAACACAAGCAAAAGCGATTAACTGGTCCGTATTTTGAACTTGAAACGTAGTACGACTTTGAAAAACACCTATTGTTCTGGTTGATATCTGTTGGAAAAGGTCCGGAAGGCTGTAAAGGCCCCATATCAAGAATTTGACCTTTTTCGTTATTACTTAATATTTTGTTCGTGAAGTTTCCCAAGTCATAAGAAGATTTATCGTACACATTTTCAGAAAATGTAGAGGTCTGTAGTTCCTCCAAATCCTCCACTCTTATATGTACCATGCAAACATCATCAATGTTTACCAACCAACACTGAAGTTACCACATTATTTGTGTCACTATCAATAGAAATATTTTATCCAGAAGTACTTGTAGAAAAAACTTGTCAATTTTGGGAAATTTTTGTTTACTATCTTCTCTTTCTTGTTGTTTTCTGCGTTTAAATGCATCACTGGATTTTTTCTTTTCCATAATATTAGTTTTCTAATTTATTTATGCAATATTTATATTAGATTGTGCTCACTATTCACCGACGACGTTAAAAGTAAAAGAAAGGAGAAACGTAATGATACGCTACAAGACGTCGTTGGGGAATCCCCGGCGAACATTTTACCGCCGTTAGTGTTACCACATTTAATGGTGGAGACCAAGAACGATCTCCTCGCGCGCGGGCCTGAATTAATGCACCTGCTGCAGGTGACCTGCATTTTTTTCACGATATTTCGCGCTATACAGTGAATAGCCGAAATCTATAGATTTGACATGATTTATTGACGTAACGGACATCAATATGAGTGGTACTAAAAATTTTTGAGATTAGCTTACTTACTCCTGATACAGCATTAATTTTTAACCGTTCTCGAAAAAAAATCTTGACTCGAATTCACAATAAAACGCACATCGATCAATAATAAAACGTAGATATCGCTATCCGTCAAATTGACAACACTGCCAACCCACAGAAAGAATTTGGGGGAATTCCCTAGGTATAACTTTCGAATTTCTCTAAACTGAGTTGCCATGATTAAAGTCGGGTTGCAACCTGTCATTTATTTTGAAAATGGGAGAAATTTTTAAAAGTTCGGTTCGATCGAGATTTTCTGCTAAGGATTCTGGGCTCCCTGAGCTTGAGGGCCCCGGGGCACTGCCCCGCCCCTACCCCTAAACCGCCTAGTCCCTAGGTAGCTACGCCACTGTGCATAATCAGAAGTTTCCAAAACCATTCAAAGACTGGCACCATGGTCAACGACCTTGTTGCATGTAAATGATAGGCACCAACGAATATTGATCATCATTACAGTCCTTCATAAGTCCACTGCTGAACTTAAGCCTCCCCATAAGTAATACAACGAAGCTTGGTCTTGAATCAACTGCATCCATCGACTTCCTGCATGGATTAACAGATCGTCACTGAATCTATTAGGGTTCGCCCTACACTTCCTACATTCAAATATTATTCGAACCTATTTTACTATCGCCATTTCCATTATCCATGCATCGATTACAGCTTATAAAAGTTATGTGTATGAGCTCTGAGGGACCAAGCTGGGAATTCGCGAAATAAATTGTTAAGAATTTAGTATTGGGCTTAAAACGATTGTAGAACGAATCCTGGAATTTGTAAAAGATTATATAAAAAGCTACAGCGCTTAAAGTGTGGTTCCTCAGTCGACACACTCTATACGCCAGATCTCCAAAAGTATCTTAAAAATTAAGTTAATGTGATTACAATATTTATTAGTAAAAAATTTGTAAAGCTTATTTTTCTAAGTAACAAGACACGAAGTATTAAATATAAAAGAAACAAATATCTAAACTGTGGTACCTCAATCCACACCAAAATTTTTAATACATAAATGAAAATTAATTAATTTATTTATCTCGAACTTTTTCCAGTTAACGTTTCAGTACAAGTATTAACTTAACAAAGCTTAATACTTCCTTCAAAGGCCGAAGCATAGAGTAGAGTAATATATGGGCCGAAGCGAAACTGACCGGGTGGCAGGAATCACATCATTAGGTCAGGCCCTCAGGCCGATAGTTTAGGTAATTTCTTTTTACAATGAAAATAATGGTATCTTAAAAAAGTAAATAACTTAAGCACCGCTTTATAGTTAGTTCAGTTAGTAGGTATGCAAAGTTTCATCATCTTATTTAAAGTATTTTATGAATAACAGTGGTTTATTGTTTATTTTGGAAGTAACTTTGAATTTTTTTTTCTATCGAGATAATTTTACGGAATCGTGTTTTCGTCTAACATAATCCTTAACATTAATCCTCAACTTTACCATATATTTATTTCAAAAATAATGCTGCAATATTTTCGGCATAACGGAGGATCTTGCTAAGCCATTTGAGGTAATATTTCCCCTTAAAACTGCGCCTATATTTGGCCATATTTCTCTTTTTACAAAATTCTTTAAAACTTCTACCATAACTGGGAAAACCTACGCGATTCTATATGTAATATATAAAATACATTGTGTGGACTGAGGGACCACAGTTTAGATATTTGTATCTTTTATCTTTAACGCTTTGTGTCTTATTGCTTATTAAAATAAGCTTTACAAATTCTTTACTAAATATATGTAATCAAATTAACTTCATTTTTGAGATACTTTCCGATATCTGGCTGATAGACTGTCAACTGAGGGACAACACTTTAATGGCTGAACTTTTTATGTATTCTTTATAAATTCCAGGATTCGTTCTACTATTATTTTTGGTCTATTACTAAATCCATATCAATTAATTTCGCGAATTCCCCACTTGGTCCCTTAGTGCTCACATACATTAAAAGTACACTGCTGTACATAAGCCTCCCACATAGAACGCCTCATAGGAGGAATTTTGCCATAGCTGCCACGCTTGGCAGGCGGGTCGACAATCGCAGTTCTTTTACTATTGAGTTGTTATCAAGAAGATGCTGCTGCTCATCTCCTGTTTCAATTCCTCTCTGCGGCGTCTTACGGCACCCTCGGGATGATATGGTGTAGTGGATATTCTTACACCGCCACTACATGGTAAAATCACCATTTATTTGTGAGTGTTTGGACTTGTACTTAGATACCGTAATGTAAATTAATTTTTTTATAGTATAAGGGTGGCAAATGAGCGCACAGTCTACAGTTTCGAAGATAATATAATCTGATATTTATTTCGAAATATTTCGAATTATCTTTGGATAAGGTACTTAACATTTTTTTATAGAATACGGTGACAAACGAGCACACAGTGCACCTGATGATAAGTGGATGCTGTGGCCCATAGACATCTATATTTATCTTCAATTAAAAATCAAAACGCAGGTGCGTTGTTACCCTTGAGGACTTAGATGGAATGCCTCGTTTCCAGTAAAAAGGGTCACTGGTTCTCTACACTGACCATACGAAAGACAGCAGCATTAAGCTACTATTTTACGCTGGTATTCTGTGAGAGCGTGCTCCTACCCCGGTCGACCCGATTATGTCGTGCTGCAACCACAATTTAGCTGTAGCATGACTCTGACACGTAACACGTCTCAATATCCATAAATTGATCCTATAATAGTATAGAAAAGTATTAAGTCACTTACCGATTCTGGCATTCCATTATCCTGGATTTGATTACTGTGAGGAACATCGCCAATTAGATCTGGTAATTTTTCTGTTTTTCTTTGTGAATTTTGATTACTTTCAGCATCCAGTAATGTATCACCTCCAATTTTTTCTACTATTTGAGGATTGGGTGCAACTCTTTCTGTTCTTTGTTGAGGAATTTTAAATTGATCTTGTGAATAAGAAGCTCCTTCCTTATAACCTGAGATATTGTGATTTGTAAGAGACTGAGAGCCTTTATACTGCTTATGGGTATTTTGTAATTGACTTCTGCTTGGATATTTCCCGATGGAGCGATTTCCCATTATTGAAGTCTTGCTCACAGTTGATTTAACGTTGCTAAATATTTTAGGATCCTTGGGTTTTGAGGGGATGTCAAGAGGGGATAACGTTTGAGGGCCGCCTGGATCTTTAGTGTGATAAATCTCTGCTGGTAGCATTTCAATTGGTTGGCCTAAAGTATTGTATGTATAGCTTACTGGCTGCTTTAGATGCGACATAGGTTGATTTTGAGAAGTAGAAGCTGGGAAAACCGGTTCTTTCACTATTTTCTGCGGTGTGTTAGGCATTGGAACAGACTCTGATAAAGGTCGTGAATTTAACATCAGTTGTTGCATCTGAATTGTAGGCGTATTTTGCATTTCTTTATTTTTTGATAAAAGATTATTCGGTGCATCAGCATTTGGATCTATCAAATTATTTGTCATTTGTTGTTGTTGCATATATTGTTGATCAAGCCCTTGTAATTGTTGTTGCTGTTGCCCTGGTTGTTGATGAATTCCTGAAGTTGATGTCAGCGTCTCACAAGCTTGTGGATATGATTTGATTCCTTCATTATACGAATAATTTGACTGGTCCTCGTTTTGTATGATCTGCTTATTTGTAACCATATGATCATTTAAGGGCTTGGAAATGTTATTTTGGTATACATGATTTGGATTTACATTTGATGGCGCTAAATTAGTAGCAAACATATGTGTTACTTCTGACCCCGTCTCTACAACAGGTTGTTGTTCTGTTTGTGTTGGATTAAAATTACTATTTACTCCCGAATTATTATTATTCATTATCCTATGCATTGTATCAAAGGCAGCTCGTTTTTGATTGGCAGGATTCATTTGTACAGCTATTGCCATAGGATCAAAACCTAAATCCCCGCCTAAATTTTGCGTTACACCAGGGAACATCTCATTAAATTTAGCAATACCTTGGGTATGTTGTCCAAAATGCTTCGGATGTGGCGCCATTGGTTGAACCCTATAATTGGAATTCACATTTGGCATTGATAATTTATTTTGATTTGCACCTTGCATTTGGTTACCTAAATTCCCTTGATTATTGTCATGGTGTTGATTAAACGTGTGCACTTGTCTATCACCACCTTGATACATGTTCGTTTGGACAGGTAACGGCATAACTCCCACTTTTCCATGAGGTGATTGAGGCGCATCAATAACCATGGGCTGCGTTAAGGAACCTGTTTCCCCTTGTATGTTGTTTGCTTTCATTTTGTTTCCACTCATCATCATATTTACTAGGTGAGGGCCCATCCCGTTCATATGACCTTCCATTCTTGGATTTAAATTAAAACTTTGGTTGCTGTTAGGGGTAATTTCAAGATTTCTGCTGTCTTTATTTTGCGTGAGCTGCGTATTGGTTTGTCCTTGTGATGCAGACATCGCATTAACACTCTGGTTATTCATTATCGTGTTAGCTGGTGTGATCGTTTTTAAATCATTATACACTTCATTTACAACAGGCTGCATAAGGTTTTCGCTTAAGTACTGGTATGTATCGCCGTACATTTTTGCTGGGTTACAGTGACCCATACATGATTGGTTCATATGCTGTGAATTTGAGTACCCACAGGGCCCTCTCCCGCATGATGTACTAAAATTATTATGACCGTGGCTATGGAAACATCCATGCCTGCAACCACTAGACGCTTGCATAGGACTTGAAGGTTGAGGATTTGTATTACCGAATAATTTCCCTATACATCCGCTGAAAATGTTACTTATTTGTAGTTAATAAAATTAAAATTACAAAAAATCAAGTTCAACCTATAATTGCACAATAATTACTGTTTCAGAACATTGCCGTACCCTGCTTAAATTATTCATAGAAATCCAAAAGTTAATACCAAATTCCAAAGACCATGATACGAATACAAAATAATACAAAAATTGTTCCATGTGAAATACATTTTCGTTTTATTACTCTCTCTCTCTCTCTCTCTCTCTCTCTCTCTAGTCTGAATCTAATAGTTCAGTAGCCTAGCCCAGCCTACAGCTTATGAAAGTTTACTGCTGAACATTGGCCTCTTCCATAGATGGCCTGATAGGAGGAATTTCGCCATAGTTGAAACGCTTGGCAGACGGGTTGTCAACCGCAGCTATCCATTAGTTTGAGCTTCTTTAAGTTGTTATCAAGAAGATGCTGTGCCCATCTTCGGTTTGAGTATCCCTCTGTCACCTCCTACGATATCGACTGGACGATATTATGTGGTGGTGGATATTCTTACATTGCGAACACACTTTATATTATAGTTCAATACAAATACAATTTAATGATGTATGCTACCATTATTCGCCTTAAAGTACAATCAACTTTAAGTTCATTTGGATATCACTAGTTTAGGACTTAATAGAATAAATGCTTAATTTTTAACTATCATTTCAAATAATTTCAACAAAAGCTGTACGAGACACCAGACTAATATACACAAACCGTCGCATTACAAAAAGTAATTTAAACTTAGTTTAAGCTCGAGACTGTTAATAAACCATCATCAGACCGACGCACACGTCTGAAACGTCTCACACGTACTCACATGAAGGAAAAAAAGGTCTTTTTACTTCATTTCAGCACATGTATGCACAACAGTCATTGATTATGCCATCGTTGCCATATAAAATTTACGGAAATCAAGTTCTTACATTTAACAAACTATACTAATGCTAAACACTCGCTGCCCGCGATTCATTAAAATGTGGAAACAGAACGCCGCCTGTTGCGCTCTCTGTCGCACTTACGGGCTTTATAATACCATTTCTCCATTTTATGACGGTTGTATGTTTGACATTAGTATAGAAGTCATAATGAAAATATTTTGCTACACACAGGTCTACCTATTTCTATAAGTAGATACATGAACCGAATAGTACCAAATGGAAACCTATATCCTTAGGCGTCACGTAATAGACAAAATGATTGTTTTGAAAAATTTGATATATGTAGTCTTTAGGAATAATATACCGTTGTGCAATTAAAATCATGAGGAGAAGGAACATTAAAGCAATCAATCACTTGAATCAGTCTGAACAAGGGAAAAACCCCCATAAAAAATTAACTCACCAATCAGCACTTTTTAGTTGATTCATAACACTGCCTAATTCACTTAAAATTTTTTGTTTGTCTAGGGCCATTTTAGCTTACGACCATAAAATCAGTAAGGTACACCTAATGTAATTTTAAATAACATTTTATTTTGCTATAAATTTTGTAAGTTCATAGATCTTGTGCCAAATGTATAGTGTTTTGTTTTCAATAATTGTCAAAAGTGGTATATTTCTTAATATTATATTTAAAACGGCCAGTGCTTTTACGAATAAAATACGGATACTTTCAAAATATATTTACTTAGATTTAAAATACATAGATACTGGCGTAATTTACTAGCGACCCGCTTGCCGGCTTCCCCCAGATGGGATCTATTTTTCAATATTATGTATGACGTCTTGTAAAATCAAGAAATTCTTGGCAAATGATTTCCGTAGCCTTTTTCTAAAAAACTTTAAGATTTAATTTATAAGTTCCAAATGAAACGTGCTCAAATCCAGTTGAGCGTTGAGATTATTAAATAATTAATTTAAAAGTTTCGCTTTGCGCTTCATTTATTAGTCATGGAAAAAGCTAATTATAGGGGGCGCTGTAATAGAAACTGAAACGACAGGCCTATTAATATTATTGGTATCCGTGTAATCAAAACGACTCCTCCAGTTCTACATCCGGTCAGAAAAGTGCACTGAATTAAGATGGGTTCTTAATTATTTTACTTATATACTATTTAATAACTTTGCGTTAACTGATTAAAGGTTTAGTGAGTTAGTCTTTTAGTTGTTGCTTCAGTACTTTGGGATTGTGGTTATGGGCTAAGGTTCAAGCTTTGACCTTTGAGATGCATAAGTGACCAAAGGTATTCAAACCACCTTAGAGTTAGAGTGGGAATGGACATTTATAAAAATTACAATTTAATATTATCGCATGATGACATCGATGTAAGAATGTTTTATTAGTTGTTAGATATTCGCATTACATAAAGAGTTTTTAGACTTTGATATTATCGTTGTGGTTAAAATATGCCGACGAGACAAGAGAAAGAAAAAGTGGAGACGCGTTAATTCCATAACTTTGATTATTATTTTATTACGGTTTTCGTCGTGATCAATCAGCTGGTGATCTTCTGGTCTACCTCACTCATAGATGGGCGGAGGCAATAGAGTCCAAGGGCGAAGCATTGGCTGTTAGTTTGGATATATCGAAGGCCTTGGACTGGGTCTGGCACAAAGCGCTTCTTTCGAAGCTCTTTTCTATGGGCATGTCGAGAAATTGTGCAATTGATTCACCAGTTTCCTTGCTTCCATCAAGATCGTAGTAGACTGTGCGTGCTCTGATTACAAGCGTATTAACGCTGTGTTCCACAAGACTGCGTGCTATCACTAAACGGAAAACGTCTCTGAGTACCGGGACAAACTTGTGTCTGAAGTCGAGTTTTTGTTAAACAAAGTCTCGGCTTGGGGGCGACTAAATCTAGTTCTGTTCGATCTTCAGAAGACACAAGTTTGCGCGTTTACCGCTAAAAAGTTAACGTTAGTAAACGGTTCATGCAGTCTCCAACTAGCTTCGAGTTCACTAAGTTTGACCTCAGCGCTAGCAGTGCTGCTTGACTATCAGAGTTTATGTAAATTATATGGTTGACATAGTGTTTTTGCAGATTTATTTCCGCACATGAAGTATGGCGAAAATTTCTGCCTGGAAGATAGAGGTGTATCTACTCAAATTCATGCTAAGTTCGAATTTGGGGCGTTCCCCGTAAATTCCAAAGCCTACGTCGAGGCCCATTTTAGACCCATCGGTATACCTTATGAGGCTAGCGACCTCACGGATAACCTGACCATTCAGCCAGTCTTCTCTGGAGGGTAATTCCACTATATACTTTTTATCAAGAGTGTGTAGTGGATGCATGATATCTGAGATCATGCATAAGACCGATGTTTCCTTAATTGAGTCGAGCATGGATCTCAATCTGTAGGAGAGCAAGCTCAGGCCGCCCTGGGCGTTAATCCTATACAAACTAGCCCTCGCCTCCTTGTCTAGATAGAGATCAAGGGGCGTTAGGCATAGAAGTGCATTAAGAGCCTCTCCAGGCGATGATCGCATAGCTCCAGTTGCCATTAAGCAGGCAGTCCTTTGTAGACTATTTAGTCTGTCCGCAGTCGTCTTTTGGTTGGCCTTGTTACACCAGACAATAGAGGCGTAGGTGAGAATCGGCCCCACTATGATGCTGTACAGCCATAGGACCATACTGGGTCGCAAGCCCCAGTTGTTCCCGACCAAACGGCTGCACGTACCTAAAGCAATTTTTGCCTTATGGCATACGTTGCTAAGGTGAGAGTTCCACGTTAGTTTTTGGTCGATTGTTACGCCCAAGTACTTAACTTCCGTAGAAAATGGTACCTCTTTACCATAAAGTTTTGGTTGGACTAACTTGTCCAACCGTCTCTTTTTGTTAAAGGGTATTATAACAGTTTTATCAGCATTAACTGATAAACTGTTATCCCTACACCAGTTATTTATGATGTTTAGGGCTCTTTGTATTATTGACGATAAAGTACTTTGGCAAAAGCCCCTCGCAATGATCACAAGGTCATCAGCATAACCCAGTGTGTCAATGCATAGGTCTGCCATTCTACAATAGTTGGTCACCGCAAGAGTCCAAAACAAAACACCCCTTGTGGGCAGCCTCTTGTAGTAAGTGTGTAACCTCAATCGAAGTTTGAAACAGCGCTATTTTTGCCTTTCTGTTTGAGAGCATCGACTTCACCCATTTGATGGTTTTGGGGTCAACATTTTTAGATGTCAGGCCCCCAATCAGCAGTGATGTGGGGCTACTGTCGAAGGTACCCTCAATATCTAGAAAGGCACAAAGAGCTATTTCTTTACCCTCTAGTGCTTTTTCGACCCTGTCAATAACACTGATCAGGGCTGTTTCCGTAGATTTGCCTCTGCGGTAAGCATGCTGGCTTGCGGTAAGAATGGATGGCAAGTCTGCGCTAGCATAATAATGTATAATTTATCTCCTAAATTTGAACTCTTTCAAATATAATTGACACCACATGTAAAGTGAACCCGTGTGGAGCCGGGCGGGTTGCTAGTAATTTTATAAACCTGAAAGTTTGCTTGTTTGATACGGTTTCACGTAAAAAATACTTTATGTATTTGTATGAAATTTAATGTTAATCTCGTCATCACCGTTTCATCTCTATAAAAGGATCTTTTTAACAAATGAAGGAATTTCCAATGTTGGTCCATACTAGATGAACGAAGTCGCGGGCGGAAGCTAGTAAAATAAACAATGACGAAGTAGAATACAGTTAATAATACAGCTATTTAGACAGTAAAACTAAGTAGACTTATTTTAACAATACCTATAATGTTCTGGATGTGGAGAAATTTTTGTGCCGTTCGAAGTTTGTTTCTCAGGCGCCAATAAGTAAAAAATTGTTTTTTTTTTTTTTAATTCAATTACGATGTTATATGTATAATTTTTTCAAACGTCTTT